TTCAGAAAGAAACTTACATAAAATAAGATTATGTGCTGATTGGTTGATGAAACTGTTATAACCAGAGGCTCATAGCAACCTAACCCTGTATTTCTCTTAGGAGCAATGGTTCAGTCTTTGCTAATTCAGTGTATACAATGGGTTATAGAACATGACTACAACAAATAATAAGAATTGATTGTGCCATTCTTAGTAATTAACATTTAGTAATCAACCTCTTCTTGGGGATCCCAGAGTGATGTAGAGGTAATGTGGATCAGATTGCATTGCAGGATCTTATGATACTTTCTGTACCTCCCAATAAATACCTTTTGGCATCATGATATGGAATGATTGGGCATTTCAAGGCCAGCTTCTAAGACTAAGCCTTGATCAATATTTTACATATTGTACCTCAGTTTTGCCCCATGCCCATTACCTCAGCCATTAACTATTCCAACTCTGTAACAAGCAGTGGAATATCACTTGCAAAGATGAGATGAATATGTGATTTTTTTAAAAAAATATATTTTATTGATTTTTTACAGAGAGAAAGGAAGAGAGATAGAGAGTTAGAAACATCGATGAGAGAGAAACATCGATGAGAGAGAAACATCGATCAGCTGCCTCCTGCACATCTCCCACTGGGGATATGCCCGCAATTCAGGTACATGCCCCTGACCGGAATCGAACCTGGGACCCTTCAGTCCGCAGGCCGACGCTCTATCCACTGAGCCAAACCGGTTTTGGCGAATATGTGATTTTTGACTGTGAATGTTCATGTCCCCAAGGATCTCATCAGGTGCTCAGTTTGGCTCTTGTTATGCAGCAGCCAAACTGTAGAGGAAAAAGACTGTCTCTAACATTAGTGACTCCACTTTTATCCTCTCATCTTGAATCAAGACCTATCTAGCCAATGTTGTAGAAGAACTGTGGATAAGAGGAAATGAGGAATGTTAACAAAAAGAATCATACACAAAAATAAACTCAAAATGGATAAAGACTTAAACATAAGATAGCAAACCATAAAGTCTTAGAAAAAGCCATAGGCACCAAAATAGCAGACATTTGTTGTAGCAATATCTTTACCAGTGCAGTTCCTAGGGCAATGGCAACTAAGGAAAAAATAAACAAATGGGACTTCATCAAAATAAAAAGCATCCGCACAGCAAAAGAAATCATCAACAAAACAACAAGAAAGCCCACTGCATGGGAGAACATATTTGCCAATGTTATCTCTGATAAGGGTTTAATCTCCAACATTTATAGGGAACTCATACAACTTAACAAAAGGAAGATAAACAATCCAATCAAAAAATGGGCAAAGGACCTAAATAGACACTTTTCGAAAGAGGATACACAGAAGGCCAAGAGACATATGAAAACATGCTCAAAGTCACTAATCATCTGAGAGATACAAATCAAAACAACAATGAGGTACCATCTCACACCTGTCAGAATGGCTATCATCAACAAATCAACAAATGACAAGTGCTGGCGAGGATGTGGAGAAAAAGGAACCCTCATGCACTGCTGGTGGGAATGCAGACTGATGCAGCCACTATGGAGAACAGTACGGAGTTTCCTCAAAAAATTAAAAATGGAACTCCCATTTGACCCAGTGATCCCACTTCTAGGAATATATCCCAAGAAACAAGAAACACCAATCAAAAGGATATATGCACCCCTATGTTCACTGCAGCACAATTTACCATAGCTAAGACTTGGAAACAGCCTAAGTGCCCATCAGCAGATGAGTGGATTAGAAAACTGGTACATCTACATAATGGAATACTACGCTGCTGTATAACAGAAGAAATTCTTACCATTTGCAACAGCATGGATGAAACTGGAGAGCATTATGCTAAGTGAAATAAGCCAGTCAGAGAAAGATAAGTATCACATGATCTCACTCATTTGTGGAATATAAAGAGCATCATAAACTGATGAATAAAAATAGATACAGAGACAAAGAAGCATTTAACAGACCATCAAACCTCAGAGGGAAGACAGGGGCGGGCTGGGGGATGGTAAGAGATCAACCAAAGATCTTGTATGCATGCATATAAGCATAACCAATGGACGCAGACACTGGAGGGATGAGGGCATGTGCCGGAGGGTGAGGGCATATGCTGAGGGGTAGGGTAGGTAAATTGGGGGAAAAGGAGACATATGTACTATATGACAATAAAATCTTGATATGTTAAAAAAGGAAGTGCTGCCCTAACCGGTTTGGCTGAGTGGATAGAGTGTCGGCCTGTGTACTGAAGGGTCCCAGGTTCGATTCTGGTCAAGGGCATGTACCTTGGTTGCGGGCACATCCCCAATAGGGAGTGTGCAGGAGGCGGCTGATTGATGTTTCTCTCTCATCAATGTTTCTAACTTTCTATCCCTCTCCCTCTCCCTTCCTCTCTGTAAAAAAAAAAAAAAAAAAAAAAAAAAAATCAATAAAATATATTAAAAAAAGGAAGTGCAATCAAAAGAAGGAAATAAAGAGATACAAATTAACACAAAATGAATTTAGACCAGTGTACCTTAATACAGATAATCACTAAAGCTGAATCCAATTCTCATTGAAAAAAACTCTTTTAAAATTGCTTCAACACTATGCAAACAAACAAAGAGAGACCTCTACCTCTAACCCTGCTGAAGATTCCTCCTACCCAACTCATTTTATTCTGTTGTGGGCATCGAAGGCTATTTTAACTACGAAAGTTACAAAATGAAGAAGTATTTGAGATCTGCCTGGACTATACACACACACACACACACACACACACACACACACTACACCAAGGGCAGTGGATTTAGAAGAAAGAGCTCTAAACTAGGAGTAAAGGACTGGGTTCTAATTATCTGTAGATGGAAAACTGCTGGCTTTGTAAGACACCTACCGATGAGCCTGAAAGCCTGCACCTTATTGCTTCTACCTGTTATAGGTTTAGGGGCGAGTCCAGGTAAACTTATTTTTTGTGGTCTCCCACCTCAATACACCAGCTGTGAGAAACAATGCTGTGTCAGGCTAAGAATTACAAGACAGGAAGCAGATTTCCATATCTCCCTCTCCAAATCACATCATTTAGAGGACATTTATGTCCTTTGGAGTCATTCATTGAGAAGAGCCAGCTACCTCTATAACAAACATCACAGCAAGAGACCAAATTCAATGGTTATATCCAGTTTTGCCTCAATCATTGTTTCAGCCTGCTTTGCCTAAAAAGTAATGCACAGCAACTTTTTTATCTGGAGATGGATGTGAGCCTAGAATTCAGGTATAGTCCTAGATGATTTACAGATAGGATGAGTGGTTTACATTACCCATAATGCCATGTACACATGTGTCTGCTTTGAAGGTCAAGTGCTCACTTGACAGTGTGCTTTGGCAACAGAAATTTCTGAGATAAAAATGTTTATAGATGTGGTCGCATTTCTCACCTATCAGCCATAGTAGTAAATTCAAGGCTCAAAAGATGTATTCATTAGGGAATTGTATAGAATATGATGTGAATGTCAAAATAGACACCAGTAAAAATCATTTTTACGCCTACAACTCTATAGTGAAGGCAATCTCAAAGTTCAGTTATTTCCAAAGGAAGAAAGCTTCACTGGAATACACAGTATTGCAACAAATAGGGGAAGGATTGTTATTGCACTATAAAGAGAACACTAGTATTGCTTTTCCAAATATGTGGAAATCCTGTTTAATTGGAGCTATTATTGCACTGAGAATAAATAACACATTGACCTCAAGGGAGTTTTAGTTGGCAGTATTATACAATTTGTACAATGTACATCCACTATAGGAGTTAAATAAGCTTTTTACAATTGCAAGCTGAAAGTATAAGTTCTGTAAAACCTGAAAATAATAATCTAATTTAATATAGCTAGATAAACATTTTGTTCACCAGAACTAAGTAGCTTAGAGAAAAGTAATTTTTACTGAAATACAATACATTCATCATCTCTTTCCCTAGCCTTTTTTTTTTTTTTTTTGCATTTTTCCTCATTTACTCAGTCGTCCACTATTTCATCATTTCTAATTACTAAGAACCAAATGTAGAAATATCTTTGCATTATCCACTATGGTCCATCTTTGGGATTTGATGTCACCCCATCATAGGTTCTATAATCCTTGGGAAGATGGCCATTAAAAAGAAACAAGGTTCTAAATAAGATGGTACTAACATCTCTTGAAGATTACATACTTGCAAACAACTATTTAATATATTATTTTCAACAATTACTATGAAGGGGTTGGGGGAGGTATCACATTTTGTTTCCAACAAAAAACACCTCAAGCTATATGAGATTTTCCCCATCAGAATCATTACTCAACAAATACTGTTGCATGTTGCATGCAAACATGACTCTGTATTAGGTAATGTGGAGGATGTAAAGGTAATACACAACTGGACCTGACATCATTCTGGGGGAAAATAAGACATATACTTAAAATAGTTATAACGTGTACACTACAGGGTGAGAGTGTCCCGAGAGTCTGAGTAATCTGTGAGAGAGATGGAATAGGAGGAGGAAAAATTTCCACCTGAGTTAGGGTAGGATGGCCTAGAAAGAAAAAGTTCAGAATATACAAGGGGAATTTGTCGAATGCAATTGAAATATAGACTAGATGAAGGGAAGCAGTGCATTATAAGGGTGGAAAAACAGGTAGACTCCAAATACTAAAAGCCTTAAATATCGACAGAATAGTGTGAACTTTATTTTATAGATGATGAGGAATCACTAAATATTTTTAACAAGATAGAATTTTGATCACAATCATACTAAGTATAGAGTGGACTGAATAGAAAATGCGACTGATGGTCAGATAAAAGTTAGAAGGCTACTGCAGTAAGGCTCAGAGAAGGTAATGAACCCCAGAACGGCAATATGTCACATTTTGATTCCTCTCTAAAACCAATACTTGGCTACCCTGGAATTTAATAAAAACATATATACACATTAAGATAGAGCCTTTATTTCAACTATAGTCAATAACTCTTTTTTTTTTTAAATTTCAGATTTTTCATTATTCGTATACTGCTTCATATGTGATTTACAACATACACACTAGGTAAGTTCTTCGATTTTCTGGTTTTCCTGAGAAATTGTCCAAATAAATTCCTGGTGTAGATATCAACTTGTTCATGTAAAAATATTTACCTTTTTTCAAGGGAAGTTTGGGAGTTAAACCCTCCAGAAGTAGCGAACTCCGTGTTGCAGTATGCGGCCTGGGGTGTCCAAGGGCAGCAGCTGGTAAGCACAGGCACTGGGATGCCCAAGTATCATCAGCCGTGGCCCTAGGGCCTAGGGAAATGTTTACAGACCCACTACAGTGGGTTACAGACTAGTTTTTAAAAACATTTTTTTATTTTCAATTACAGTTGATATACATCATTTCAAGTGTACTCCCCAGTTACCAGACATTATATAATATGTAATCATCTCAGTAATTTCCACGCCCACCCAGCACACCTAGTTATTAGAATATTGCTGACTATATTCCCTATGTTGTGTTTTACATCCCCATGACTATTCTGTAACAACCAATTTATACTTCTTAATCACTTCACATTTTTTGTCCATTCCCCTACCCTCCTTCCCCTCTGGCAATCAACACAAAGTTCTCTGTATCTATGAGCCTGTTTCTTTTCTGCTTGTTCTTTTTATTTGAAGATTCAATTGTTGATAGATATGTATTTATTGCCATTTTATTGTTCATATTTTTGTCTTATTTTCTTGTTCTTACAGAAGACCCTTTAACATTTCATATAATACTGGTTTGGTGGTAATGAACTTCTGTAGCTTTTTCTAGTCTGGGAAGCTCTTTATTTGTCCTTTGATTCTACTAGTAAATGATAACTTTGCTGAGTAGAATAACCTTCGTTGTAGGTCCTTGCTTTTCATCACTTTGAATATTTCTTGCCACTCCCTTCAGGTCTGCACATTTTCTATTAAGAAATAATCAGACAGTCTTATAGAGCTCCCTTGTAGGTAATTAACTGATTTATCTTGTTGTTTATAAGATTCTCTGTTTGCCTTTAACCTTTTGCATTTTAATTATAATGTGCCCTAATGTGGGCATCTTTGAGTTCATCTTGCTTGGAATTCTCTGTGCTTCCTGCACTTGTATGTTTATTCCTTTACCAAGTAAGGGAAGTTTTTTGTCATTATTTTTTTCAATAGGTTTTCAATTTCTTTGCTCTCTCTCTTCTCTTCTGGTGCCCCCATGATGTGAATGTTGATACACATGAAATTGTCCCAGGGGCTCCTTACACTAGCCTCATTATTTTTTAATTCTTTTTTTTTTTCTTTTGTTGTTCTTATTGGGGATTTACCCAGGCAATCAACTGCAAGGATTGGCTCTGACCACTGATCACAAACCTCCAACCACTGTGGAGGATCAGCTGTGTAGAGACCCACTACACAGAGCAGGATTTAGTTCAGCAGGGCTCTATGCCCTCTGAGTCAACCCTTGAGCATGTCACTTGTGGAGGTGATTGGATGGTGGTTCTTCAATGTGATCTGAATCTGCCCACTGGGCGTGCTAGCTCTGGGGCCTCCCAGGAGGTGCAGGCCAAGGTCCACCATGGTGTGTATTCTGCCGGAGGCCATCTGGAATGAGCTGCACAGTCATCTGCAGATGGTTGTTACGTATGCTGGGCTTTGAGGTGCCCAGACAAGGCCAAGCTGTGAGCCAAGGCCAGCTGCTACTAGCGCCAGGACTTGGGTGACTTAGTGAGAGATATGGGCTCACTGAGACCAGATGCTGCTTGTTTGAAAGATTTTAGGGAAACCTGAAACATGAGCCAAGATAGGCCATTCCTATTGAAAAGCTACTGGAAACAGCTTGGGTGGGCCTGAAATTTGAGTAGGGCAGGACCTTAGGGAGTCACCAGGGTGGGGCAAAGAGTGTGTGTTAGGCTTATGGAATCTCAGATATGGCACCCATTTGCTGGCTCTGTTGGGGGAGGGCTCATGAAAGGAACAATGGCTTCTGCCAGTATTTCTGTCTGGGAGAAAGCTAGTCTTCCAGCTCTTGCCCTGATGACAAACAATTCAGTTCCTCTCATATGTCCCTGATGCTGTCCTATCCTGGAGTTCAGAGCAAGTGAGTCCAAGTAAGTCTGTGTATGAACCCTTTAAGAAGAACACCTGGACTCCAGCAGCCTTGGCCTCCCTCCTCAATCCATGCTGGTTTTTACTGCCAGAAATTATGGGGACTTCTCTTCCTGGGACTAGAACCCTGAGCTGGGGAGCCCAGTATGGGAGTGGGTCCCCTCACTCCTCAAGATGGACCTCCACAGTCTTGATATCCCTGATGGGCACTTGGGCTGTTTCCAGATCTTAGCTATTATAAATAATGCTGCTATGAACATAGGGATACATATATTATTTCTGATTGGTGTTTCAGGCTTCTTAGGATATATTTCTAGAAGTAGGATCACTGGGCCAAATGGCAGTTGCATTTTTAACTCCATACTATTTTCCATAGTGGCTCCACCAGTCTTCATTCCCACCAGCAGTAACCAGGGTTATACATCTGATAGGGGGTTAATTTCCAAAATATGTAAAGAACTCATACAACTTAACAAAAGGAAGTAAAAAAAATCTAACTTAAAAATGGACAAAGTGCATAAATAGACACTTCTCCAAAAAGGACATACAGATGGCCAAGAGATATATGAAAACATGCTCAAAGTCACTAATCACCAGAGAGATGCAAATTAAAACAACAGAGAGGTATCACCTCACACCTGTCAGAATGGCTACCATCAACAAATCAAGAAATGGCAAGTGCTTTATAAATGCATTCCATGTGACATGGAAGTATTTTATACATGCCTATCAGACCTCTTAATAATTATATATATATTTTTAAAATATATTTTATTGATTTTTTACAGAGAAGAAGGGAGAGAGATAGAGAGTTAGAAACATCGATGGGAGAGAAACATCGATCAGCTGCCTCCTGCACATCTACTGGGGATGTGCCCACAACCCAGGTACATGCCCTTGACCGGAATCCAACCTGGGACCTTTCAGTTTGCAGGCAGACGCTCTATCCACCGAGCCAAACCAGTTTTGGCATAGACCTCTTAATAATTATATTTTTAAGATTTTTTTTTTTTACCAGTGATAGTGGGTATATGATCTTTTTCTTTAGAATCCTATTAGTTTTACATTATGTAATTTGAACTATATTCACTAAGGCATGAGTGGCTTTTTAATGTTAAATAATCTTTCAGTAAATTGAGTTTCTTGATACCCTTGTTAATATATTTATTCTATTTACCTTTAATAGTTCTGATTGACTAACCCTAACTCTTACCTTTAGCAGAGTCTTTTAAAATAAGTTAAAATCTTTTAGATTTTTAAAAATTAGAATGCTGCATAAAGAGCAGCTCATGAGCTGAGCTATGTTTCTTATTTCCTTTAAGTTTCAATTTCCTCATATGTAAAATAGAAATATCTTTGCCACCATTTCATTAAGATAATTATTGGATAAATATAAATGTTTATTTTAATAAGATGAATATTATTGTCGTTTTTATTTTACTTTATAAATCTAAGAAATAATTTCTTAAGCAAAATGGTGAGATAGGGGACTACTACTAGAAATTTCACATCATAAGAAGGCTGTAGAATAATATACTGTTACTAAATGATGCTCTTTTTATTAGTAACAACTTCCGGATCCTGAAATACCCCGGAAGTGAATATACCTGGTGCAGGGTTTCTTCCAGTAACTGGTCATATGACAGTGGCCAAATCATTTTTCCTCCTTGCACCTCATTCTCATCAGCAGCAAAATGAGGGCATTTGCTTGTGCTTCTTGGCTTTTTCTTATTACATTCTATATAATAAAATTCTAAACTGAAGTTTCTAATTGTTTTAAATGGACATTATTTTCATTTAAAAAATTATCAGATTGGGATACAGAAAGGAGAACATGAAAGTAGAAAAGAGTTAAGGAGTGATTGCCCTGACAGGTTATCTCTAGACATATGGTTCTAATGTTTTTACTGATTTTAAAGAGAGAGGAAGGGAGAGAGATAGAGAATAGAAACATGGATGAGAGCAAAATATTGATTAGCTGCCTCCTGCATTCTCCCAACCGAGGATGGAGCCTGCAACCTGCGCATGTGCCCTGACTCGGAATCTAACCTAAGACCTCTTGGTTCATGGGTTGATGCTAAACCACTGAGCACACTGGGCAGCTATATTTTTAATGATAGTTTGCCACTCAGAAATGTTTCCAGAGTCAGCTGGAATAGATTAGTATTTTGGAGCAGGAAAAGTATTTTTCCACATTCAATAACAGCTTTCACTGTGTCTTGGTGAATGTACTCTTCAAACAGAAAATTTTAAATGTAATATTAAAATAAGTAACTAATTATAATATAGAAAAGTATCAACAGTAAAATAAATGGTTATTCCCTAGTTTTTAATCCCCCATTTCCTTAACATGGTTTTATGGATTCAGACTAAAGGGACATTGAGAAATCAAAGGCTTACCAAAAGTATGGAGGGAAGTGTACACAAAGTTGCCAGACATTATATCTGAAGCTGCTTAAACATCCTTATCGTTGTGCTTCACAATGAAATCCCATATAACACTGTATGCACAGCTGTTCATATCTACAGTAAATGGCTGAATAATCTATACTAATAAAAGGGCAATATACTAATTAGACCAGATGTCTTCTGGACATCCTTTCAGACAAAGCCACAGAGAGGTATCACCTCTGTGGTGGGGGCTGAGGCAGAGGCCATTAGGAGCCATCAGGCCAGCAGATGAGAGCAGTTAGGGGCTATCAGGCTGGCAGGGGAGGGCAGTTAGGGGTGACCAGGCCAGCAGAGGAGCAGTTAGGGGGTGACCAGGTAGGAGTCAGAGGTGGTTAGGGGTGATCAGGCCAGCAAGGGAGCAGTTTGGGGCATCAAGCCGGCAGGCAGAGGCAGTTAGGGGCAAGCAGGCAAGTGAGTGGTTAGGAGCCAGTGGTCCTAATTGCAAGAGGGATGTCTGACTGCTGGTTTAGGCCCTAAACCAGCAGTCAGACATCCCTCTCACAATCAGACATCACCTGAAGGGTCCTGGATTGGAGAGGGTGCAGGCCGGGCTGAGGGACCCCCTCCCCTGTGTACGAATTTCATGCACTGGGCCTCTAGTCCTATATAATAAAAACCTAACATGCTAAGTGTCTAGTCATCTAGTCAGCCATTCAACCAATCAAAACATAATATGCTAATGATAT